TACTATATATAATCACCCCTATTTATAATCACATAATTTTTGAAAACCAAAAGTGGTGATTATAGACAGGTCTGACTATATATCTGGTATTTAAAAAATTATGTAAAGTGATATGTGATGTCGCAAAAAAAAAATCAAAAAATAAAATTAAATAAAATATTAGATACACTGAAGAATTTACAAATTTTCTTATTATTTTGAAAGGGATTAGCTCTAGGGTATTAGATTTGTTTAGACAGATTTTAAAAGGTCGAAGTATTAGATCAATCAAATATATTTTAACATAATGAATTATTTATTAATTATATTAATTTACAATTATATTAACTATATTATCATTTATATTATTAATATTGATAGATATTTGCGTAATAATGATGAAAATCTATTAACTGATCCACTTTGTATTTTAAAATTATAGCATGATTTAAATGGCTAATTGATACTATTTATTATAATAGCCATATAGTAGCTATAACTGATAATACAAAGCTAAAAAAGAGATTATGATATTAACCTACCTTTGATTATATCATTGGTTTTATTTTGCCAAAAGAAGAAACTGTAATTAAAATATATAAAAATATACCAAACATTATTAATAAAATTAAAATACAAAATGCAGTAGCTAAGGATGTTCGCGCATATATTTTACAGGTATATACTTTTTTATTTAAATTGTTTGATCTATTTTATATACTAATTAAATCTTAATTATATTTTATTTTAGATTCTATTTTTAAAATTTTCTTCAGTAATTATAGCATTACTTCTAAATAAGGGTTTAATAGTGCAAATGATGTTACTTTATTACATCAAACATTAATTAAAGAATTTGCATTTCAATTAAATCTTTATATTTTTTTATTAGATTCAGATGGTGTGATAGTTGAATATCAAACTCAACAAAATATAATGAACTTTTCAACTACTGAAAGACTTTCTATTTATGAATCTATATTGAATGTAAACTTTAATTATCCTATTTTTGAATCTGTTGGTCCTATAATTCGTGTACAAGATCCAAAGCATACAAAAAAACTGTAAAAAATGCAATTATATTAGATGCACAACTTTTAATCTTGGAAAATCATCAATATGTTATGAACATCTTTTAAAACAGATTAACCATTATGATTTTCTAATATTTAAAAATGATGTAGTTAAATTAGATCATTAGAATGATAGAGCAGCTTATTGAACATTTTGCTCTAGTAATTTAAAACAATTAGTAATGCATAATTATCAATTAGAATCTGAAAAAGAAGGTTTTTTTATTTATTTATTTATAATGGATATATATTTAATATATAATTAAAATAAAATTTATAATTTTAATGCAACTAATTGATTTTATATAAAAATATAGGCGAAATTATTGATAGTTATCTTAATTGAAAGTTAGCTTCTTTAGAAAGAATTTGTATGTCAATGACTGGCTTCTTTTTTTTAAAACTATAGTGATTTCACATTGAATCTTTATCAAAAAAAATATCCAGAATTTATTTCTATTTGACAAAACTTTCTATTAAATCAAATTTTTGCAATCCTTATTTCTTTATGTAAATTAATAGTTCTTTTAGTTAAAGCATATTGAGAATTTTATTTTTCAATACTATTATTACCTTAGTTTTATAGTTCTGAATTAGTAAAGCATTTTTTTAGCATTACATGTCAAATTAATTCTGATTTTGATTTTGCTGAATTAATTCAAATGATTTCTAAAATTTCTCAGTATATAAAAGCTTTAAGAAGCAAAAAGTTATCTTTGAAAAGAAAAATCAGTAAGAGAAGTATTTTATTTTTAAATAATAAATTACATGTTAAAAATCTAAATTTTATTCATTATATATATTATTTTATTTAGGTTATCATTATGATTATAATTTTGATTTTATTGATGATAATGATTTAGAATTACTTTGCTTATGGCCTACTGATGAACAAATATTACAAACTATATATCATTCTTATAATATTACTTGTAAATTAGTAAAGTTTATTCAAATGCTTTAACCAGATGAATTACTTATTAAAATTAATGAGCCAAGAATAATAATAAATGCACATAATAATGAAATATCAACAACTATTATAACAGAAAATGAAATAGCTGAAAATAATGAATTAGATATTTTATTTGCATTAAATAAAGCATCTGCAAAAATGGAAAATTTAATTACAAAAATATATGAAGAGAAAAAATATTAGTTATTTAATGAAGGATAATCTCAACTTGAAATAATCAATAAATAAATGAATAATTTGTCAATTATTAATAATGCTGATAATGGTAAGTTTTCATTCACATTTTATTATGATCACCATATTTTTATCAATTGTAAATTATATTAATATGATTTATTTATAGTCAATATTAATTATTAATTCATATTGAATGACAATTTAAACTTTAAAAGTTTAATTGATTAAAGAGTTTTTTATGAAGCTTATTGTTCAAAACCATTAGAATAAAAGATCAAGACATCAAACTTATTAAATTCAAATAATACAACTTTGATTATATCAAATAAAGCTAGTCATTTTATTTTATTCTTTTCAAAAAATAAAAACCCTGATCAATGTTTTGTGACTTAAAGGGAAAATGGTAGAAGAAAAATTAGAAGAATGTTTCATTAACTCTTGCTCAATTGCATTTTGAAGAGTTGAAAAAGTTGAAAATAAAGAAAAAATTGGTCAAAAAAAGATATCAAAAATCTTTGATTGAAAATAAATTATTAAATTATTTGTGTTTTTTTATTAATTTAATTAATTTAGAAAAATAACCTTTACAATTTTATTTTATTATAAATTAGTTTCAGATATAGAAAATGCTAATATTTTAAAAGATATTCTATTAGTTAAAGGAATTATATATTTGTTAAATATGGGAGTCAAATATGCATTGGTCGGGTTTTAGCTGTATATTTTGAAGCCTATTTAAACTATTATTTTACAGAAGAACTAATAATCAATTTAGATGATATTTTGTATATTTTATTACATATATATATTCTCATTTACCTTGATTTTTTTAGTGATGTAGTTCAGGAGGATTGTAATATTTTAACACATCATTTAGCATCCAATATTTTTTATCATACTTTACTATCTGGTGTTTCAATAGAAGGGAATATTTTGAAATTAGTAGGTAATGAAAAAAAATATTTTGAATACTTTGGAAGAGAAAATATTATTGAAAGGATAAAGTAAGGTTAGTGAAATATAATATATTCTAGTTTCTTATTTTTCAAAAATAAAAAAATAAAAGTAAGAAGTTTAACATGTTTATTTTTATAAGAATTTTAAGGTTAGCATTTATAGATACTTAGTGATTATAGTAAAACAAGTACTTAGAACTATTAGTAAAATATTTTGATAGTAACTGATCTATATTAGAATTTTTGGGGTTTTATTATACCATTTATTATAGAACTTATTAAAAATAAATAAATTGCAAAATTTTGCAATTAATTTTTTGTAGAAAAATATATTTTTACTATTTTAATAGATTATCTTCTTTATAAAGATAAGGTATATTAAATAACATTTTATTTAATTTGTAGTTTCTTAATTAATTAATTAATTTAATATAATCTTTTTATATATTTCATTATATTATAAATTTTATCAACTTTTATTAAAATTTTTGATATATAATTATTAGAAATACCTAATCCTATATTAATATAATTAATATTAAATATTATAATTAAAAATTATTAATTAATTAATTAATAAATAAAATAATATAAACCTTTATAATATAGATGTAAAAAAATGCAATTAAATAAATATTATCATTAAAAATGATTAAATCTAATAATTATATAAAATAATAATATTATTATTATTATAAATATAAAATAATAATTACTTTAACAATTTATCTTTTATTGTATTTTTTATATATAATCATTACATATTATAATCAAAAACTTGATAAATTTTGATATAAAATACTAATCCTTTATAATTTAATAAATCCATTTGCTAATTTGACATTTTTTCATTTTAAAAATAATATTGCTTGTTTGATTAGAAGTAATAGATTAATAAGTACTTCAACATTATTAAAAAAAACCTCTCTTATTAATAATTGATTTTACAGCTTCACTTATTATTTTATCATAATGTTTTTTATAAATTTATTTTAAAATTAAATATTAAAATTATTAAAAAATTATTTAAATTTAATATTAAAAAATATTTACTTATTTCAATAAAATAACTTTTAAGTTGTAAAATAGATACTATATATTTAGTAACAGCTCTCTTCTTTATCAATTAATATGGATATCATTTTTTTCTATTTCTATTTGCATGCATAAATGAACTGCGGTAACAAATTCATCCTAAAATATTTTTGTTTAAATTATACTTTTTAAAAAAATAATAACTTGTTTGAAGAGTTATGTAAACTATTAGGAAAGCAAAGGGGTGGTCACACAATCGTTATATATGGGCGATTTCATCAATTTTTATAAGGAAGCGAAATACGATATATTTTCTTCCGACATCGTGATGATTTCCATTTTAAGTAAAAAAGGTGGATCCGATAAGGAATTTGTTTTTAACTCTAAAATAAGATTGTCATATTTATTTTGGATAATTTCCCTTATCATTATCTAAACATTTAATAATTTAATAATTTGGGCTAATTTGCATATTTGGCATGGGCATGGGAAAAAGAACCTATCTATGTAATTCATTTCTTTGACTAAAACAAATATACCCACACTAGTTACGTTACTTGTTCTTTTATGTCATACCGCAAATAAAAGGTTTGTTCCCACACACTCCTCGTCCTGCAGACCAAAAGGTGTATGTACAGGTCCAGGCTCTAAAATTGGTTCGTTTGTCAAAAAAAAAAACGTCTTGCATTCATAGCAAACTTTATAGATTTCAGGAACAAAAATCTTGTTTTAACCGTTTTAATGGAAGACGAAGAATTTCAAAGAATTTTCAATTTTCTTCACATTAGTGAAACGCAATTCGTTGACGAAGAAGACAGTTATCGGTCAGAATTATACGATTATTTTGAGGAAGGGAATCATTATACAGAAGAATGTTTTAATTACTTCAACAACGAAGAGGACGACGAGGAAGTCGATTTTTGTGATTATTGCGAAGAAAGCGGTCATTGTATAAAAAATTGTTCTCGCCACGAAGATGAAGATGACGATGACGATTATTGGTCCGATTCGTACTTCTTGGAATCTTCACTTCAAGAGAAACCCAATTTATGTGAATATTGTGGAAACGAAGGCCATGGCGTATGGGAATGTTATGAACTCGATGAAAATAACACTGTCAGTATTCCTGAAGTGAACTTGATTTTGGATTTAAAAAAGAACGATTTTAGTACTTTGGAGAAGGACAACTCCTTCAATCATTCCGAACAGAACAAGTTTTGTGAGGTTTGTAATGGAGTAGGTCATCTCTGGAAGGAATGTCCCAAATCGCAAAATACCGTGTTTCTTGGGAAAAAGAGTCGCCAGAGGGAAAGAAGAAAGGAAAAGAAACTTCTCTCTAATAACATTGAAAATGTTGATTGGGAGACAATCGGAAAAGTCAATGGGCTTGGAAAGGAAAAGGAGACTCCAAAAAGGTTTACCAGACGCCATTAGTAAAGGCGGAAAGAAGTGTTAGATGAGATCTGAGGAAAAAAATTAGTGTCTCAAAAAATTTTGGTCAACAATGAAGCTCGGTCAGATTTATTAATATGAATGAATATTAACACGTGTAAATTATAGTACTTTTTATTTCTTAAACTTTTCATATTTTGATAATCAGCAGATTTGTTGTTAGTATTTTGCATTGTCGTCAAGGTCGTGTGAAATAGTCCGTTTCACGACATTAAATTCTGGTTCATGGTGTAAAAATGTGAGTAGGGAAATTTTTAAATTTTTTAGGGATTATATTTAGGTGTTATTGGTGTTATTAAATCATGTATGGTATGTATGGAATGTAATGATTCCAATCAATTGCGTATGGTTTTTTCATGATTATAATTAAGAAAATTTCTTAGTGACTGTATCGCATCCATTGTAGATTAAGGGTTAAATTTTTCATTAAACTTTAAAAATTATCTTAATTTTAAGATGAGATGAGATTATTTATTTTATCATTAATTCAAGTCTCTTATGTTATGCCGCAAAAAGTTAAAAAGGTGATTCCTATTCAAGGACCCGTAAAAATTCTTAAAATACACTACATGAAGAAAGTGGTAACCAAAAAAGCAATTCGACTTGACAATTATATTTTTTTCGATTGGGTTTATTTAGGCCAATAATATATTCTTTTTACGTGAAATATCAAAAAAATTTCTATTTAATCGATTTATTTTTTCGAAATTTTTACGGGTCCCTGTTCCTATTGTTTCTTCTAAACAAACATGATCATTTTTTAAAAAAGAAAATTTATTCTAATGAGATTATAGCTTGGCCTTTACCTAAATGAATTTTCAATAAAATTAATAAATTTAGTTAATAACACGTGGCGTAATTTTCTTATACGCGAATCATGACGTCAGCTCTTTACATATAGTATATATACCCTTATTAAACTTTTCTCAAGCTATAATTTTTAGAAACAAATCTATATCTCAAAAAAAGCCTTTTCTTTTCTTGTCACGAAACCATGTCTGAACAGTGTGGAGCTAAAATTTTCGCAACAAGCTGGGTCTGCTGGAGCTATGGCTGACCTTATTTCCTATATAAAAGATCGTAAAATGGATCATATCGTGGCTTTCTATTATTTTATAGACAAAGTATTGTAAAATGTTTAATGACATCAACAACATCCTCTTCAAATTGGCTGGACCTCGACAATGCTTGGGCCACAAGTTTTTTAAGAGAAGCAAGAAAGCAGGAACAGGATTTAAGTGCAAAGGTGCGTTTTTATTTTTATTTTTTTTTTTGTTTTGCAAAGGGAGGGTAACTCCTAGTCGAACCGCAACATACGCATTGACTCAGGAGAATTACTCGGTAGAACACCTGGTAACCACTACAGGGACCCCTATTCAGGCGCCCTAACTTTGTTGTTGGTAAAGGTCTGCTGATTTCGGAGGAGAAATCGGATATGTTCCTTCCTTTATTACTAAATAAAAAATCTGATGTACTCCAACAACGTCACAATATCTTGAAAACATACTGGGTAAATATTATCAAAGAGTGCGATTTGGTAAGTAAACTTATGATTTAGAGTTAAATCATAGATTCAATCACACTAATATTATTTTTAGAGAAGGGACCTTTCAAAATACAAGATGAAAAGGAACACCTGAACAAGATTCTTTTAGAACTTGATGAAAAGATAAATGTGAAAAGTGCCGAACTTGCTGAACATATCAATGAATATTGCGACAATGCTTCACTAGATGAACCTGAGTTAGATTTGAATAATGATACAGACGTCTAAAAGTATGTCATTTATTTATTACCATCGTTTCTAAACATTTATCAATAATATTTAACCATATTGATGATTACAGGTCCAAATCTGGACGTAAATAAGGATAATAATGCAGATATTTTTGATAGCAATATTTCCCCAAGAAATGATCAGCCTCCAAAAATCAGTATCACCAACAATTTATCCCTTCGTCTGTAACGCAGGAAAATTTGCCTACATAAACATAGTAGCATGTGAAAGTCTACAGACGAAGGGATAAGTAAAATTTCACCCCACACCGGCGACATATAAGGGGCGTGAAAAAAATTTTCACCACTTAAAAAATTCCAAGTTTCCCGGAACACTTATGAAGTGTGACGCCGGTGACAAATATGGGGTGGAAAAATTGTTGGTGATACTGGGAAAGCTCTAAAATCAGCAACAGATAATAACATGCAGTTATTATCTCACAGGCAAGAATCATTATTTGAGGAAAATGCAAGTGTTGTCAAACAAGTTAGTGATGTAGCGGGTAAAAGGAAAAAAAATCAAGTTAACTTACCCGCAGAAAAAAAGCCGAAAACTGCAGCTACTCCAAATCTGAAATGGCTATCAATGTATGAGTGGCTGGAATATCGAGTTGTTGATGATACTGTCCTCATGTTTTGTACCTGGTGTGAGAGTGCAAAATTTACAAACAAAATGGCCAAAGGAACTGCAACTTACAAAAAAGATTCACTTGAACGTCATTTAAAATTAAAGGATCATTCAATGACCGAGAAAGAGAGTCAGAGTGATCAGAATAATATTGTAACTGGGTTCGCGAAACAATATGACAAAGAAAAAGGTATTATTATACGCCAAATGCAGTGTATTTATTTCACTGGTGGCATCATATTTGGAATACTCGTCTCCAATTTAAAAATATATTTCCTAATATTAATATTTTGATTAATGTATTCTTATTAGTACCAATTTCAAATGCAAGTGTAGAAAGAGTTTTTTCCAAACACAAATTAACAAAAACTAGATTACGTAATAGGATGAATGTGGAGACTCTATCGTCTCTCTCTCTCTCTCTCTCTCTCTCTCTATAGACATGCATTTAATACTACTTTTGAATGCATCTGATAAAATTTCAGATTTTGACTGGGACAAAGCGTTCAATCAATGGAAGAATGAACGTGAGAAGAATTAAACGTTGAATTTTTTATTTATAATATGTTAATGGCGTTCTATTTGATTGTTTTATAATAGAATTATAATATAATAAAGGTTTTTACAAATGTTATTTTGCAATTTTATGCATAAAAAAAAAACAACTTCCGCACATCATTTAAAAGCTGCGCGCATTCCGCACATGATTTGAAGTTTGAATTTCAAACACTTGACTTGGTTAACTTTTTTTTTTGCATAATTCATGAAAACGATTTGGAATTCGTTCTAATAAACGTTTAAATTTATTTAAAAAATTTATCTTTATTCGAAAAAAATGATAAATATTAGTCTAAATATTTTCTAAAAAATGTATTCTATTAATAATTATTAAAAATTAATTAATGCTTTTTAATTATCAAAAAAAAAAAATAAAATAAAAAAAGTGTAAATAATAAATATTTGGGCTCTTATATATATATATATATTTCATTACATCGAACTTCTCAGAGATCTCACAACACTCTCCATTGCTCGTTTTTTATTTCTCTCTTCAGGTTGCATAGTTAAAATCGATTGATCCTTTAGCCATCTATTTTAATAATAAAGTTATTATAATATTCGAAAAAAAAAGGGGGCATAAATTCTTAAGAGTATATTTACTTGTCAAATAGATTAACAACATCCACAGGCTTAAGTAATGAGTATTTTCTATTTCTTGTAGAAGGAACCAAATATTCTTCAACATTTTCGGATTGTAAAAGAGTAACGATCTTTTTTTTTAAAAAATATATTAAAAAAATTTGATTAATTACTAAATTTCGACTTGAATGTAAAAACCATTTAACGTCTAATAAAAAGCAAAGTATCACAATACCTGTCTCAATTCTAAAAATGCATCAGCGATATTAGGATCCTCTAGTTTCCGTGCAAAATTTTCAAGAAACGTGACATCAACTTCAAAATTTGCAACACCATTTGCATTAATTCTTTTGATGTCGGGGCTTAAAATCAGTTCCTATACGTTATTAACATAATTTTAGAAAACATAAAAATTCATAACGACATTTGATTGATAAAAGACCTATTACAAAGTTCTTACGCATAAACAAGAGGCCAAATGACTTAACGCATTAAAGTAAATAAAAATCTTGATTGACATCGGAAGATTATATAATGTTGAACTAATAACAGCCGTGAGGTAATTTACCATGTCTAATGTAAAATAATAACATTTGTAAAGATATGTTTAATTGCTTAAATAATTTTCATACTAATAATGAAAAAACAAACCGTGAAGGAAAAAACTTGGATGAACTTGGATAGAATCCGGAATCCTAATTTTTTGTTAAAATAAATTTGTAAATTATTGACGATAAAATTCAAATATGAAAGTAAGGGGCTTACCAATCGTAATCTGCTAATTCTAAGAAATCATCGATTTTTGAATTAACAAGTTCAAAGATACGTTTCTCTGCCTTTTTACTGGTCTCACGAAATTCTTCAGCAGCTCTCAATTTAATCACACCCCCACGATGAGACGACCTAAAAATATATGCATACATCTAATTGTTAACTGTTTGAACGAAAACACATTCAATCAAAATAAATTATATCATACCTTTTTGCTTTCAATAATTTTTCCAATTCTCCACAGGCATCATGAAAATATTCAAGATTAATTATAATTTGCACAATCTGTGACATATTTTGACTTTCCAATTTACTCGTTAGAACACCATTAACATGTTCTATTAACAAATTATCTAATGTCTTTATATAAATTGATCATTAATGGATAATTGCACATTCGTGAATCTCCTAAATTACATTACATTGTTCCAACCTGTTTCGCGATATCGTCTACTGTACTATATTGTCGAGAATCGCCTTCTGCAAATGTATAATATTGGTCCACAAATTTCTTAATGTCCAAGCAACAAGAAGGATATGCTTGTGAAAAGGGAAGGGTTCTTGGATATCTATAAAATATTAACACGTAAACGATAAATTTTTAGGAATATATTGTTTAAATGATTTCACATTGTAATATTTCAACTTACCCCTGACTAATGCGATGATCTTCTTTAAACCAACAAGCGTCAACAACTGCCCCATACTCTTCTGGATTATTAATAGGCATTGGCATATAATCATCATATAGAAGTGTCTACAATATATTTATTTCTTAAAAGAGTTCATAATTATTCCTAAAGATATTTTATTTAGGATGAATTTTACCTGGAGGAATTCTTCCAAAAATCTTTGTTTTAACATATCAGAATATCTTTGAAATACTGTTAAGATCAAATCTGTAAATGCATCAACATTATACCCATAATCCTATCAGATGTATGTATGTAAATAAAATTAATATATATATTTCAATTATAAATAACGATGCATAGAAAAAAAATGATTTGAAGTATAACAATACCTCCAAGGTTTGGATAAAAGTAAATAAAGAAAATTTAATTTGTATGAATAAATTTGGATCATGACATCCATCAAGACTTTCGCTAACAATCTTAACAACTTTGGCAATCACTGAATCCCATAAATTATCAACTTCCGTTTGAGATCGAAAATTTTGTGTAGAATGTACAATCACATGCTCGATTACAAAGAATCCTACAATATCATGAAGGAAAGCTTCAAATCCCTTTTCATTGCCTTCCCTCAATGTGAATGATTGTGACAAGACCAAATTTGACTGGGCCTATTTTTTTAAACAAAAAAATAAGTAAATAAATAAATAAGTGAATACATGTATTTCATAAAAAAATAAGGAATTTAATTACCCTTCTATCCTCTTCATAATTTGTTTTAAATTCACTTCGTTTTCCAAGTTCCTCATAAATATGTAAACATTGATATAATGGTTTGAAATCAATATGTACTTGATCGTTACTAACAATATTGACTACATCATGTAAAAATTTGGAACTAGCTTAAGTTTGTGAAACAAACGAATTTGTCTGATGTGAGAATTGTAAATAATTTAACATACATTCATTTTCTTCGTTCATCACCATCTCTATTGGCGAACTAACTGGAACTGAACGTAAATCAGGATTTTGATCAACTTTTAACTTCCAACGTTCTTGACGTAATTTCATTTGTTCCATAGCAATTCTACCAACTTGCCTGGATACTTGACGAACTCTAATTTTAATAACAAAATTTGCTTAGTATTTTTAATTTAAAATTTAAAGAGAATTGACATAAAAAAAAAATTAAATGATTTATGTACTTGAACAACCATTCTTTCATTTCTTTTGTCACAGCATCTTTTACATTATTTTGCATAACAGGAATAGATTCCTCTGATCATATTTAAAGAGATTTAGTCATCATCAAAATATAATTGAAATAAAAGGTATAATAATAACATACGCATATGCTTGGCAAAATCATATTGTATGACTTTCCGCAAATGAATGGTCTGCAATTCTTCCAATGTCTACAAAGGAATGACGCATTAACCAGATGCCTTTGTTTAGCAAAGTTTTAAAGAAATATATGTCAAATTATATCCACCCTTAAAGCCGAATAATATTTTCTTTCTTCTACTAAATAATTTACACGATTTGCCATGTCAAGTACATGTAAGCATGATTGTAAAGTGTCGACGGCATCATCAATGTTTTTTTGAATTCTTCGCGTCTGTATAAGTTCCTTTTTCTAAAACAACAACAAAAAAAAAAATTTAATATTATTTAAAATTTGAATTGATATAATCAATAGCTTACCTTTGATGCGACTTTTTTCCCGGAATTTTGTACATCGTAATTTAAATCAATGATTTTATTCTTTAAATTAACGGTTCCTTGTCTGACTTTTAATAATTGATCCACCGATTGTATAAATTC